AAAAATAAAAAAAAAAATATATATATATATATATATATATATATATATTAAATAAATCTCTATGAATGAATCTAATGAAATCTGTCAGAATAGAACCTTGTCATATTTCATTCTAAAATAAGTAAAGATATATTTTGCTTATGCTTACAAAAGAAGCCTAACAAAATAAACAATGTAAACAAATAATTATATAATTATGAAAAATGTGAATTAATAATTTTTATATTATAGTATTATTACAGTATAATGATTATATGTAATACCAAATTCATGACAGAACCAAAACCTGCCAAACATTTTTTGCCTTTAGCATTTTGCTTATGGAATACTATCCTTCAGTTGAAAAAGACTGACATGCTGGCATGAACCTACCTGTTCAGGTTTGAGGCCAGGTGGCACCCAAGCGTACTCCTCTAGTGCACAGCCAGAGTCATCATCAGAAGTTGAGTTCCTCTGGAAGTCAAACATGATTTTAGAGACCGTCCTCTCCATATCCACAGCCATATCACTACTTCATACCATTAATCACTGCAGAAAGACACAGACAGACAGGAATGAGAAATGCAGATGTAACACATTACACAGTTACAGATGTTGATATCACAGACCCTTGCATGCATTTCATTTTCAGTATGTGATGATTAAGTTGTTTCAGTTATGCAGTAGCTGGCCAAATGCTCAATAAATGTGCCCACACTGACAAAGTATTGAAATCATATGTATTGAAATTGCCTGCATGGAAATTTAACCAACTCATTTTCTGATTATGCAGCATTGCTGTAAATGCAATGAGGGTTCTCACTGAATGTGAACAAAATTTAGACAGATAAAGTGATCCTTTACAGTTTGATGACCACCTAAATTTTGATTCTAAATATTCAGGAAAAATATTTTTTGGTAAAAAAAAAAAATATATATATATATATATATATATATATATATATATATATATATACACACATTTATTGTCAATTACAACTCTCCTATGGTAATGTAATTTATTGTGCAACTGCTATTTTTTTATTTAATTTTTTCCAGAAAAAAAAATCTAAATAAACTGGTTTTGTAGTATGGATATTACAATATCTCAAACTACACAGCACATACAAGACAAAGCCATCTGAATGCATCAAAATATTTTAAAAGATGTAGTCTGTAATCTTGTAAAAGTCTTTAAAACATGTTTGAGCACACATTTGATGCATGGTGCTGAGAAAGTAAAAACAATGTTTTTAATACTAATGTTATTATTTTGCAGTAACGTCATCCATGCAAAAAAAATCAACCCATGATCAATTCAAAATCATTAAAATCCTTGATAATTCGAGCACCTGCGAGCTTCCTCCCACATTACACATTATACAATCTTATAACATACAAGACGTCATTGTGACATCACACTTCACTTGCACACAACATGAACCTTAATTTGATCTTTCGCGTCAACAGGAAAAACAAGCAGAAAAAGAAAGTCTGAATAAAGTGTTCAAACATAAGAAAACCATACAGCTACAATGATTTCCAATATCGTGTTGTTAGATCAAATCCGTTAGAGGATACAGTAGAGACCATGTTTAAATAGGTATTGGAAGCCTGTTTCTATAACATCACCGTAAAGATACAACAGAAATTCAAATGAAAGACATACAGACCTTCATCTTCATATCAGCATCCAAAAAATAACCTGAGGGCTGTGAGAACCAGAAATAGAGAAAAAAAGAAAAACGCAGTGCTAAAGCAACGCGAAAATAAACGCTTTTCTCTTTTATGTGTCATGCCTCATCCTTCGCTCTCACTCTGCTTGTGGATTTGACTGTTTCTGTGTGGGTGTGTGAGAAAGAATGAAAGCAAGGGAGGAGGGAGGGAGTGAGGAAGAGAGAGGGAGGGAGTGAGGGTGGAAAGAGAAAATGTCTTATTTGTGTAAAAGGCAACATTAGAGCAAGCTCTCAGCTGAAGGACTGACGTTGACCTTCATGTCTTTTTAGACTTTATAACATCACAATACTGCAGTCATACGGCATACATTTATTTTACATTTGTGTTCTTAGTATGTGTACATTTACTATACAAGAAAAGACGCAAACACAAATATACAGTAAACAGCAAGAAGTGTATATCTTGTCTTATGACCAGGTTTGGTAAATAATCAAGTTTAAGCAAATAAATTGCATCAAAGTTCCAACGTTATATCATAATAAAACCTGACTTTTTTTTTTATATACATCTCCTCTTCTGAGCATTGTTAAATGCAATGGCTGTTAGGGACATCATAGGTATATATGTCACCTCCAACTTTGGATGAAACAGGACAGGACTGCACAACAACCAAGTGTGCCTAGCCCGAGTTTGATATTTGGTATATGTTAATAAAATCCATAAAACAATACACATACTCCCATTTATTGTGAATACACTGATTTCATGAACTTCAGAGGTGAAGACAAGCATTTCTGACCTGAGCAAAAAACTGCATGTAGGCTTTCAGTGAGGATGATGAAGATGAGAAAATAATTCAAACCCCACACACGTGGCGTCAGTCAGTGACGGTGAGTGGGCTCTCGACACATGACAGCGCCTCATAATACAGCTGTAATTACTGCTGCTGCATTTGAGTTGATAATTAAGCCTCAGCGATGGCTACACGTCACTATGTGTTAATGACAAAATGATACGCACTGGGCTTACTTTATATGTTCGCGAAGGGTCCTTTTTTTCCTGAAGAGCCCAGTTAATATTTAGCAGTCTATATCTACATATAATTTAGTCCAATTTGTGGAAACAGAGCATCTGAGCTATGCTAAATGCACCATTACTAGTAATCAAGTTCATCTATGAAACAGTCGTAAGCATATTAACAATAAAATTAATCAATACAAACATAAGCAGGTCAGTAGTTCCAAAGAAAAGTGCAATCATTTCCTGCATGCCCTCTAGATTTAAGATTTTCACATGGCTAACAATAATAAATACTCCCATGGACAGAGGGTCTCAAGCCACATCTACAGACAAAACGTAGCTTTAGCATAATTTTAGATATCATTTTATTGATTCTAAAGCACACATAGCATTGCATCAACCTTTACAGCCTCCTTGTCATTGCACAGGAACACACAAAGATGTTTGAGCATTTGGAGTGCTCTCACTGACCGTGAACACATTAATCATTCAAACTAACAGCAGGATGCTGGCTTTGTCTCTTTCCAGTGAACAGTGCTCGTGCTCTGGTCGCCATGGAGCTCTCTGCAGTGACAAGTCTCCGTGGATCCAAGAGCAAGAAAGCATACCCACAACAGATTTATCAGTGAGAGAGTGCAAATCCATGCACCTTAAATCATCACTCACAGTCCTCTACTTTCCATTTGCCCCTCCAGGAAACCAACTGAACAAAATTATGTTTTATAAATCCTAAATTAATCCTATTTTAGTACCAAGATTTTTTTTTGCATTGTGGCATTATATTTGTAATATTTTGTAATATATATGTAATATTTATTATGACATTATTTTTATTTTCATGCATTTTACACTCCTTTTACTCTTAAAGGGGTCATCGGATGATCATTTTCCACAAGTTGATATGATTCTCTAGGGTCTTAATGAAAAGTATATAACATATTTTAGTAAAAATTTCTCAATGGTAGTGTAAAAAAACACCCTTTTTACCTTGTCAAAAACAGCTGTGTTCACAGTGTGTCGTTTCGGTGCATGTCCCTTTAAATGCTAATGAGCTCTGCTCTCTCTTCAGTGGTGTGAGGAGCCGTTCTCTGAGACTGTAAACTTTAGCCGCGGAACTTGCTAACTAGCACATTATTAGGAAATGCGATTTGAAAAGATTCATAAAAACCCTTATACTCACTTCTTCTGTAGGTGAAGCTGGATCACAAATATTTAGTGCGAACATAAACACATTTAGAAATAAAAATAAAAGTAATCCACTGTGTCTTCAGCGGCTCAGATGTCGGGAGTAAATGATGACTGCTATGTTCATTATTACATCCAACAACAGAACATCTCAATCGCTCAGGAGCCATTCTTGTCTGCATCTGCTCCGGTGTCGACACAATGGCGGACTGATGACAGTCACTCAGGGCGGAGCTAAGGGAAAACACCAGTGTCAATCAACAATCATGGGAGCGGCCTGTGTCTGTGTGTGTGTGACGTCACTCTGCCAAGCATCTGTGAACAGCTAGATCTGAGACAGTGCTCATGGTTTATTGGGATTTAAAAATATATATATATCATTATAGGGTGGTTGTGTACACACACTGCCAATACACTTTTTAGTTTAAACAACATGTAAAAGTGAATTTTGATTCCGATGACCACTTTAAATGTTCCACTCCTATAGTCTAGTCAGACTGTAATGATCATTAGTCTCACTGGATTCATTTTACTAAAATACATGATTTCATCTGTCCTATTTCATCAGTCTTTTTATTTACATTATACAACAGCTGTTCAAGATCCTTATACACCACTGTTCAAGATCATCAAAATTGTATTACACGTCAATAATGGCTCTCAATAATGACTTCTCTGTTTTGCGCTCCCGGTCGGACCGTACCAGTGGGGGGTGGGGATGTGGATGTATTTACCCAGAGTGCTGTATGGCTGTATCAGGCGGAGGGTGAACCAACTCCAGGGTAAGGCTAAAAGCAGCCAAATGTATTAAATATCATAAACCTGTCTTTTTAGACAAGAACAAGACATGAGTGTCATGTAGGCTAAAAAAAGTTTAATGGGACTGAATTTGTATTTAACGTGATTGCAATTTAATAAAAAGGTTAGAATTGGATAAGTATATAACGTTTCCTTTCCACGGTTATTCAAACTGCGAATAAATTATATATAGAAAGTGACATTATCACTAACATTGATCTATCGCGAGTTTAAGCACTCTCAAAAAAAAAAAAAATCATTATAAATCACTGAAGCTGTATACACTGTGAAATGAATCTCTTACTTACATTGTACGTACATCTGCGCTTTGTTGTTTATTATGAGAGAATTCGCAAGAGTCCGGAATTCAGTCACGAACACATGAGTTTCAACGATGACTCATCTGATTGGCCATTGCATTCCTAAGCTCAACAGAATTGTGTGTGATTGGTTAAAATGTGCAACACCGTAAACACGCCTAAAATGAAATACGGTGCAACATGAGCTGATCTTAATCTAATGCCGCAATCGACACTGTCTATTCATATTCATTTTGTTAGCAACAGACATAGTTTTAATTTGTTTGTGCAGGGGCATTTTTGTTCAATTTAGTGTCATTTTTGCCCCAAGTCCCCAAGCCAGGGGAAGGCTAAGCCTTACATACAGGTGCAGCTCAATAAATTAGAATGTCGTGGAAAAGTTCATTTATTTCAGTAATTCAACTCAAATTGTGAAACTTGTGTATTAAATAAATTCAATGCACACAGACTGAAGTAGTTTAAGTCTTTGGTTCTTTTAATTGTGATGATTTTGGCTCACATTTAACAATAACCCACCAATTCACTATCTCAACAAATTAGAATATGGTGACATGCCAATCAGCTAATCAACTCAAAACACCTGCAAAGGTTTCCTGAGCCTTCAAAATGGTCTCTCAGTTTGGTTCACTAGGCTACACAATCATGGGGAAGACTGCTGATCTGACAGTTGTCCAGAAGACAATCATCGAC